ACAAACGATCCGTGAAACATTTTTTTCGGCCAACCATTTGTTGCTGGAAACAAACGTAGAAATGATCTGCGTTTGTTTGCGGACCAACACCCGCCTCGCTGCGCAATCTGCAAACGACGCACTCACGTCACACCTACACCCCATTCAGCATCGCTTACAAACTTGTCGGCTTCTCGAACACACTGCTGGATTTGTGGCTGATCTCAACGTTGAAGGTGAGTCAGAGATTCTTGCGTTAGGAGAAGGCCAACGCCATGCCATCGTACGAAAGGTATAGCTAGACAAAAGCCAGGTCTGCGCGCCCTCTGGTGAGCGAGATGGTAGCGAGCTCACCCTATTTACCTGGTGTATTTTGCGAGAATCTCACACGCACGTCTAGTTTTGTTTGTGGCGATCGTGGACCTCGACGACGGTGAATCTTTGTAGGCTGTGCAAATGGGTCTTGTCTCTCTCGTGTTTCTACAATTAATTCGTGACAGGGTAAAACGGTCGGGGTAAACGCCACCTCGGGGGCGATCGCACAACATGGAGGCTGTTGTGTAACTTTCACGTTTTCCTGAACAAAGTGACCATCTGCCGAAGATGAATCTCTCGGCAAGGCAAAACTCACCCGATGGATATGTATAGTTTCCCACCCCTCCTCCGGCGAAGGGTTGTAGATCGTGTCGTGTTCCAGCGCTAACTTTCTTTCCCGACTTGGACACTTCAAGGAAGGGGCTTGCTCGTGAAACCGAATCACCGCTTCTGCTGCTTCAGCTATGCTAGTCTACAGAGCAGCAATCCTTCTCGTTCTTCTTTATTTATGCAAAGCAGCTGCGCCAACGGATTAACTTCTGAGTGTGTGTCCGGTGGCTCGCGTCGTCCGGCGTGGCTGCAAAAGAAACGCTATTCTAGCCCTCAACAGAGGCGATTCACCTCTATGTTGTGGGTGCTGGGGCAACGATCAACATAAACGTTTCACCCTCCGCCTCCCACTACTCATCTTCTTGTGGCTCCGCCTCGTTGTGGGTTTTATCCGGAGCACATGCGAGATGTTTTCGTGACGTTTGCAGTCCGTGTGCATCCCACGGGGTATCTCACCAGGCCGGTCGGATGACTAAATAGCAAAAACGAAACGTCGGTGTTTTTTCTGTCCGGTCTTTGGGCGGCAATTCAGCTACCACTTACAGCAGCTGCGCCTTCTTTATCCATCCGTACTGGTCCATCTGACGCGCGGACCTCCTTCCGTGCTCACAGACCAAGTCAACACCTCGACACAAGGAATCGTAAATGAACAGACGACCCAGAACACCAGCAATCATCCGAAAAGCGAACATTTTTTAGCATCCGTTTAATCTACGACTTCCAAGGACAAAAGTAACAGGGCGATGAACGAATTCGGTCAATGACAAGGGGGTGGGCGAAGCGCTTTTGTCGCCGGGGTCAGACTGGGCGAGCTTCGTAGAATAATCCTCACAGACACGCCCATCAAAGATCAATCGTGTTGGGCGATTCAAGCATCGCTCTGACCACCCTAACAGCCAACGAATTTCACTGCTGTAACAGGTCACCAATGCACCTTCCGGCCGAAAAAAGTCATTGTTATTATGAAGTTTTTTTTTCTAAATATGACCCAACGAATCGGATTATCCATGTCTTGTCTGGGAATCTGGTGGCAAGATAGGATTGAGTTGGCAAAACAAATTGCGGTGCAAAATACAAGCCCGGCGGGCTCGGGCGCCAGAGCACGCTCGCTCTGAGGGTCAGGCTGAAAGGAAGGGTGTGGTGCATGAACTGCTGTGCACAGCATACCAACGGCACGACGCTGGAATAATGGAATGGGTCCGCAAAAATGTTGCGACATGACGGAATCAATTATCGAATTTTTCTGAGCCAAACACTTTATTTGGGCATCTTACCGGTAGGTAATTGGCGAAATTCAACAGCTCATAATCCAACAACCCAAATATTTCCTGGGATTCCGGTCGGCCTATTAGAAAATTGGCCCATTTTCCAACGGCGATCGGGTTGGAATATCATCGCTGTTGTTTCAAACGGGGGGGGCTACCCCCTGGTCACGCCCCGATCGTACCAAAACGAGGAACTACACCGTCTGCTGGTCAAACAGAGGCCAGCATCCTGAGGGCATGCAAAAACCCTCTGCTGGTATCGTGTAAAATTCAGGGCGTTCTGCGTCGTGTTGGCCGCACACAAGCCGAAAACGCCAACCCTGCCTCATTGCTCTGCTGGCGTTCTTGCCTTTGGGCTTATGACAGCCGTTTCTGCACCTGCTGCAGGTGTGACCAGTTGGTAACGCGCCCCAGAGAGAGGCCGTAGGCCGTCGACATCCACAAACTGCAGCCAATGGCGTGTGCTCATACACATTCCCTCTGCTCGCATACCAGAAACAGAGCGTATTGTCCAGTTTTGATTGCACACGTCCTGCAAACGGGAACCAAAGCGTGTGTTCGGTGTTGACTTTTTTTCTTTTATGACGTAGCCTTTTTTTCTGGTTGCTCCGAACGTGATCAGTCCACAACGAATGCCAGAGAGAGTCCTTTTGGCCGATGACGTCCAGAAACGGCTGCCACGGGCGTGCGATTATACACATACCCTCTGCAGGCGACAGAAAAACAGGGCGCTCCGTGACTTGTTGGTCACACACGAGCCAAAACCGTGTACTGAAGCATGTTGTGACCCACAGCAAACAATTGAATCTGCCTTTTTTTCCCGAGAATATATATGAACGCCTTGGTGAGGAACCGTAATAAGAAGGTCGTTTGGATGTGGATGATTTTTCCCGTGCAGACGACCCCCCCCGGACCGAAAAAATTCCTAAATAATCAAGCCGTAAGACTCGGCCTTACACACACATCTTTAATGCAATAGTCTTCTCCTAATTTCAGTTTTTCTCTAAGAACCCTTCATTTCGCTTCTTTTCGGCTTCTGTGAGCGCTCTCTTTCGGTCTTCGCGGGCTCTCACAGAGCAGCATTTCCTCTGGAAATTTGGCACTTTGATTTGGTGGACTTTCCACTTTTTCTTATCTTCCGCTTTTATCTCTCTCGCCTGCTGCTGTCACCCCGCTCTGTACCATCATAACACGCATTCCACTCGAAGTACGGCCCTCTCTCTCTATGTGTGCCTCCTTCTCCTCCGCTCCTCCGTCACTCGATGTCTCCGACGGTCTGTCTATCCACATTCTCTTTTCATTTTCGCCTTCTCTCTTGACCGCTCTCGAGTCGGAATGGTCTGTTGTTCCGATTCCGTGTGCTACTGCTGTACATTTTTTTTTTTCTTCTAACACCTTCACACGGTATGCACTTACCTCCTACCACCTTGGTACCGTATTCTCTCTCTATCTCCTCTCGGTGTCTCCTCTCGGTGTGTGTGTGTCTTTGTATGTATCCACGTCGTCTTTAAGTTTTTGCTTTTTTCTCTTCACCGCTCTCGCGTCGGAATAGTCTATTGTTTGTTCCGATTCCGGCAACGGTGTTGTGTGCTCCGGTTCCGATACATACTCCCTTCTAAAGGTCCGGAAAATACGGAAATACGCTCCTTTCTACCTCCACTCTCGATTATACCCCGGCCCACTCCTCCCACTCCTCTTTAGGTACTCTTCAGAATTCAAGTAGTGCGTCCAATTCTTCGTGCTGTTTTTATTCTTTTCCTGCAAATCAACTAGTGCAAAACCGTAGTCCTTTTCTTTTTTGCAGTTCAAGCAGTAGTGCGTTAAATTGGTAGTGCTGTCTTTCTTCATTCGCAGTTCAGCCGACAATTTTTTTTTTTTTTTGCAGTTCTGAGTTCGTTCTGGACGTGTATCAGATAATGGAGGGGTACTGGGCACGGCGATGGGAAACAAATGATGGACCTTTACATCTCCTTAAATCACACACGAACCTCCATCATGGGAACGCAACCTTCACGGAAACTTTAACTGCCATCGGTGCCTACCTTTGTTTTGACAACATCCTACACCCACTTTCAGAGAAAACATTGCCTTGGAATCGCTTTAAATAAAGCGGGGGCGCGCAGCGCCCAAAGCCTCGTATGTATGTATGCATTATCTCTGACCTTAATACAAAGAAGGACGCTTCAATACACGGGGTAATAGCTGTCGGAAGTTTGATGCCTTATCCCCCCTCCAAAACAACTTCGACCGTTCCTTTTGAACATACCCAAAATAACGTTTTGTAGCAGCAGCGTGTCAGAGATCCATTCTGTCTATTGCTCTTATTTGTACTGCTGCTTTGTGCCTGTTCATTATTTGAACAAAAGCCGGGCATTTCACCGCGACTATTTGTGGATGGATGAGGGAAACGTCTGTCGGTCTTGTTGCACTACACCTGATTAACCAGCGCCCGAAGTAGCATACAGTGCACTGGGTGTATAAGTGTCACATTGACGGCCGATCCAAAGAAACGAGCTTGTTTGAGGCCGTGGTGTTGCTGGTGTAGACATATTTCACCATTGATTCCGTTGTTTTCCATGAGGGCCTCACGCAATCTCCTGGAGTCAAACAACCAAATGGACTGAACGCGGCTGCAGTCGCCGAACAATCTTCACGATAGGCGTAGATGCGAGTCTGGCATGGCATGGTAGCGTTCTTTTGGGGTGTTACACAGTCACGGTGCGCATCTGTATTTTGGTGAACCCATATCGGTGGAAAAAGCACGCAATTTGTCTAATTCGTCCCTCCTCAATTAACCGATCCGGTCAAGAATGTGGGGAAAAAGTGCACCCGCCTTTCTTTGTAGGCCAGAGACGGAATTCTTTCCCGTTTTCTGATATGTTTCGAAAATAGAGACCCCTCGTTCGTGTGAAAGACGTTTATCCACTAAATGGTAATAAACTAAACCCCCCATAAACGTGGCATAATACAGAAGACATGCAGCGTGTACGGGTAATACACGTCAGCCGCATGCGGACAGGCCGCGTGCCATACAGTAGCTACCCCCCTTGAGACATTGAAGGAGCTCGGCCAACTGTCGTAGTTAAAAAGGAAAATGTATCATTCTTGATCGACACTACCACTGTACTCGAGGCCATCAAAGAACATGCCATTGCCGGCAACTGCCTACGAATTCAGATTGGGAGTCCTGCGAGTCGACACAGGGGCGGCGAACGCTGACCGACACCAAATCGTCCGTCGCAACCACTGGTTTTTGAAGTCAAGGGTCTCAGCGCTTGACATTTTGTTGCCGTAGGGTGAAGTTATCGAGCATGGACTACAACATGAGCTGGTTTCTCGGCAGTCTCAGAGCCTACCCGCCACCTCTACAACTACCGCGCGCATTTCGAGCTAGGCCAAGTACGCGCCGCATGAAGTTGCCGTTGGACAAGTACAGTCGTGATGCGGGGGCGGTGATACAGGCGTGGGCTTTGCTTGAAGGGAGCGCAATCACGCCGAACGGGACCCTTCCTTGTGGACCTCAAATGGTTTAATGTTTGTTCAGATGCGTCAATATGGTTTAATGTTTGTTCAGATGCGTCAATAATTCAGGCGATGCCGCGTCTGTATTTCTACTCTGTTTTCACGGAAGCTGCGGTACGCCGGGTCCAGAGGTCTCTGTTAAGCGACGTTCGTATTGTTACATGGAACAGCCAAATGTCAGGTTGAATCAACGCCGAAAACAAAAAACAGTGTCTTGGGACCCTCGGCGTAGAACTAAGAACAAGAACACCGTTTGTCATACAGGGTCGAACGTCTTTGTTAGATGAAGACGCTGCTCTTCAGTGCCAGGTTGAATCCACGCGGAATAAACAAACTGTGCCCAGGGGCCTAGGCGTAGAAATAAGAACAAGAACGCCGTTGATGAGACAGATATGCCTGCTCAAGGTGCTCCGCTTGAGGCAGCCCGATATGCATCGAGCCTCAGCCACAATAAGCGGTTCTTAGGTGCGGGCGCCATCTGAAGTTGAAGTTCGGTGTTTTGAGTCACGTGTTGTTTATTTTACCGATCAGTCCCCGAAGGAGGTTCCATAGCTTTCTGATAAAGTTTTATGCTCAAGGTTTGGTGCCGTGGGGTATCATGCGCGTAGGGATTTTTTGTTTTGTTTTGACCCTTGAATACCTACTGCGTCAGAGAGGCGGCTGGTTCAAGTGTGTGGGGGGATTGTGTGCCCGTGGCTTGGTTTCTCAGCGAAAAGAAAACATCAACAGCAATGCCGGTAGGTCTACGCAGCGTCTGTTTGGTACCAGGCATGATGCCTTGGGGTATCGTCGAGAGTGTAGCGATAATGGTCGAGTAAACTCAGGCCACGCGCTCTTTGGGTATGGTTTCATCGCGGTTTAAGAAGGGGTGTGCCTGCTTCTCGCCGTCTCTTCAAACATCTAATATCAGGAGCCTTCCCTTTCCGCCGGTCCTGGAAACAAAAGTTTCATCGTCCCATAGAGAGCGTGCACCAATTGTTCCATTGACAAGCGATCATGACCAAAGGTAGTGCAAGTTCCTGCTCCTTTTATACAAGCGGTGTAAAATCACGATAGTATGGCACGTTGCAACGCTTCTTGGCCATTCTGGTTAGACTACTGCTGACATTTGAATGCCAAGACAATCCGCATTTTTCTGTTTGAAAAAAGGATAAGACGCAACGCATCCGCGACAACCCACCTCTACCGCAAGCTCTCTGAAGAAATCAACGAATCGAAGTACTTTGTATTGCGCTTCGACCGACGGCTACCGCAAAATCAACGCCCTGCTCATACCCTACTCTTCCCCCAGATTTATCCGCATCTCACGAGAACAGGACACCACGGAGTATCTTTTGTACGTTCACGGGCTGCAACATCTACCCAGCGCTGCCAAAGCATGAAGTTCGGACTTAGACAAACATTGTGTCGGCGTCGACACTGTCCTTCCCAAGCACTTTCATGCCAAAATTTGCATTGCTACAGGTACTCATATATTTCAATTATATCCCTTCACACACGTACAGATGTTTTCCATTCCTCGATATATCCGATGGCCCTGGATATTTTCACACCCTGTACAACTTTAACTAACAACTTAGTAAGTTAGTTGTTTGCCAGACAACTACCGGCTAGTTGTTCGTAAACACCTAGGTGCGCGCGCTCCTGGAAGAGTAGTCATCTACAGCCAACTAGGTGCGCACGCTCCTGGAATAGTAGTCATCTACAGCCAACTAGGTGCGCACGCTCCTGGAATAGTAGTCATCTACAGCCAACTAGGTGCGCACCCTCCTGGAAGAGTAGGTGTCTGCAGCCAACTAGGTGCGCACGCTCCTGAAAGAGTAGTCATCTACAGCCAACTAGGTGCGCACGCTCCTGGAATAGTAGTCATCTACAGCCAACTAGGTGCGCACACTCCTGAAAGAGTAGGTGTCTACAGGCAACTAGGTGCGCACCCTCCTGGAAGAGTAGGTGTCCGCAGCCAACTAGGTGCGGACCCTCCTGGAAGAGTAGGTGTTTGCAGCCAACTAGGTGCTCGGGCAGTTGTCAATATAGAACATGTTCACGTTGTTTGTTGCCCGGGCAATTGTCAACCACAGAATCGCACACACTAACACCCAAACACAGACAGACACGGGCAGAT